CCAAACCAAATAGTTTGAAGAATGATTCGGAGAAAACCGAAAATTAGAATTAGAAGTCGTTTTTTTTAATGATGGATATGCAATTTTTTGAATAATGCACAAAAATGTTAGTTGAAAATTTAAAATTATAATTTAAAAACCGAGTCGAGTTTTTTAAAAATGGTGGATGCATAGAGTTTTGAAAAATGCACTCCAAATACTTTGAAAAATGGTTCGATGAAAATTGGGATTCAAAAACTGAGTCGAGTTTATAAAAAAATGTGGCCCAAATACTTTGGGAAATATTTGGAATAAATTGGAAAATTAGAATCTAAAAACCAAGTCGAGGTTTTAAAAAATGGCGGATACACGGGGTTTTGAAAAATGATGGACATGCAATTTATTGAGAAATGCACTCTAAAAACTTTGAAAAATAGTCGATAAAAGTCGAAAATTAGTATTTAAAAACCGAGTCCAGTTTTTAGAAAATTTTGAATGCACGAAGTTTTTGAAAAGTGAACACGCAATTTGTTGAAAAACGCACGCTAAAAACTATAAGAAATAGTCCGATGGGAATAAAAAAATAGAATCTAAATACCGAGTCAAATTTTAAGACAGCTTAAATCTAAAATTATGAATTTAATCTGATGTATATTTAGTTTGAATTAGATGGTGTCAAAAGACTGATGCCACCTATACTATGCCACCTTTTCCATTACTAATTTTTGTTATATCACACATAGTCTACGAAAATAACGGGCACATCGTACATTAAACTAAGTTTGTTTTTCTTCTGGCTATAGTAAATGTCTGTACGTATTTACACTAGTACTCGTATAAGCTATATATAGAAACCACTAAAGACTTGCGGTCTGGAAAATATGAATCCGTACTTCACAGTCTGATGTAGCCGTAAATAAAATTTAGGACCGTTTGATTTGTTGACTGTACGCACATTCCGGATTGCCTCAACTTTTACAACTGGAGGAATTTTGAAATGGGACTTTTTTATGTGGCCTGCGGCATAAATTATGAAACTTTAGAATTCTTTTTTAAAAATCTTTTCTTTGACGTAACTTTTTTAGTGCTTTGAAGGAAGTAGCTCCAAATGAATCACCCATCATTTTCGTCGAAGTGCATAGTGGGGGGACACATCAGTGCCTCTGACATAAAAATTAAAAACTAGTCTGGCGGACGGATGGCAGATGGCAGCCCTACCCTTGTACCCTTAGGGTACAGCCAAAAAGTGATTAAAATATTAAATCTAATTTAAAAATTAACAATTTATTGTTAAATAACAAAATTAATTCTTCTTTTTTGTCTTCCTGCGAATCGATTAATATACTAAGTGACATATAAATCCGAACACCCAGTATAAATGGTTTTATTTTAATAAAAGTTGGTGAATGTATTTATCTTACTGTAAATAACAAGTGAAAAAATTTTCAGCCTTATCAGTTAGATATTCCGGTTTTTATACTGCTTTTTTTTAATTCACTAACGCTCTAAAAATGAATATTTCAGCCGCAGTAAAGAATCAACGTTGGCGGATTTTGGTTCTTGACATCCTTTACGATCGGTTACGATGCCTAGAGTACGGAGACCTGTACGATTTCGTCAACTTAATGAGTTTGATAGGGGCCGTATAGTGGGACTTTCTTTTCGGGCAATTGCAGTTAGAGTGCAAAGAAGTGTAGACACTGTGGTTAGGTGTTGTCAGGCATGGCTTCGAGAAGGCTGTACGCAAAGAGCAAGGGGCACTGGACGCCGCCGTAGAACAACAGACCGTGAAGATCGCCGCCTAAGATTATTGGCCTTAAGACCGAAGCATCATGAGAATTAGGCAACACGTACAACACCAGCTAGTTAAGTTCACATTTTGAGGATGATGTGATTCTACTTTTATACATGTCAACTTCCAAAAGCTATACAAGGAATAGCAAATCAAAATCACTTCAAGTATTGTTTGGCAAGGGGCACTGGACGCCGCCGTAGAACAACAGACCGTGAAGATCGCCGCCTAAGATTATTGGCCTTAAAAGAGCGTTTCTCCACTACCAGGTCCATTGCAAATGAATGGTTTGCAGAACACGGAAGACCTATTGGCATGCGAAGTGTTTACCGACGAATGAGAAGTTTTGGCTTGTTTTCATACCGGCCACACTGGGTCCTCCCTTTAACTCGAGAACACCGACGTAATCGCCTTGAGTGGTGCAGACAACGGTCACTCTGGGATCAGGAATGGAACAGTATTGTCTTTAGTGACGAGTCTCGATTTTGTTTAGGCATGCACGATGGTCGTGCCAGGGTTAGAAGGCGACGTGGTGAAAGGAGGAATCCACAGTTTTTTGTTGAAAGACATGTTCATCACACTGTTGGAGTTATGGTTTGGGGTGCTATAGCTTATGGTTCCAGGTCACCTTTAATCTTCATCAGAGGTAACATGAACGCGCAGCGTTATATCCACGAAGTTCTAGAACCCCATCTTTTACCCTATCTTGACACCCTGGCAGATCCAACTTTCCAACAAGATAATGCCCGACCACATGTTGCAAGAGTCACAATATACTTCTTTCAACATAATGATGTCACATTGTTACCATGGCCACCAAGATCTCCCGACTTATCCCCAATTGAGCACGTGTGGGATATGATGGGTAGGACATTGCTCAATTTGCAACGTCCTCCTTAGACTCTAGAAGCACTTCGAGAGGAGTTGGTGGTTGCTTGGAATGAGATACCACAGGAGGACATTGACTACCTGATCAGAAGCATGCCTAGGCGCGTTGGAGAATGCGTAGCACATCAGGGTGCATCCACACATTATTAAAGGCAAAGGGCTTTAAAGCAGTGCAATCATTTACTTATTATGCTTCATTAAGTACTTATACAAAATTTTATTAAAATAAAACCATTTAAACTGGGTGTCCGGATTTATATGTCACTTAGTATACCAGTGAGGCATCCATTTAATATGTGTGCATTACAGATTTATCTAAGAGATTTGGAACTTTAAAAAAGTGGTGGACGAAAATGACCCCCATGACCCCCCCCCCCGGATCCGCGCCTGGCATCTACAGTATCACATTTTAGATATGTATGCCATTACCGCCTTTCATAAACACACTTCGTGTACAATGGCAAAATAACAAATGCGAGAGCTGTCACTGTGCCGTAATAACAAAACGGTCCATTTCCTGTCCCCATCAGTGCATCGTCCTTACAATCTGACATCATCGTCGGTGTCACGGCTGAAATCATATTCACTTTCGGACCTGCTCTTTTATACTAAGTGACATATAAATCCGAACACCCAGTTTAAATGGTTTTATTGTAATAAAATTTTGTATAAGTACTTAATGAAGCATAATAAGTAAATGATAAAAATTTCAAAATGATTGCACTGCTTTAAAGCCCTTTGACCTTTAATAGTGTGTGGATGCACCCTGATGTGTTACGCATTCTTCAATGCGCCTAGGCATGCTTCTGATCAGGTGGTCAATGTCCTCCTGTGGTATCTCATTCCAGGCAACCACCAACTCCTCTCGAAGTGCTTCTAGAGTCTGAGGAGGGCGTTGCAAATTGAGCAATCTCCTACCCATCATATCCCACACGTGCTCAATTGGGGATAAGTCGGGAGATCTTGGTGGCCATGGTAACAATGTGACATCATTATGTTGAAAGAAGTCTATTGTGACTCTTGCAACATGTGGTCGGGCATTATCTTGTTGGAAAGTTGGACCTGCCAGGGTGTCAAGATAGGGTAAAAGATGGGGTTCTAGAACTTCGTGGATATAACGCTGCGCGTTCATGTTACCCCTGATGAAGTTTAAAGGTGACCTGGAACCATAAGCTATAGCACCCCAAACCATCTTTCAACAAAAAACTGTGGATTCCTCCTTTCACCACGTCGCTTTCTAACCCTGGCACGACCATCGTGCATACCTAAACAAAATCGAGACTCGTCACTAAAGACAATACTGTTCCATTCCTGATCCCAGAGTGACCGTTGTCTGCACCACTCACGTCGGTGTTCTCGAGTTAAAGGGAGGACCCAGCGTGGCCGGTATGAAAACAAGCCAAAATTTCTCATTCGTCGGTAAACACTTCGCATGCCAATAGGTCTTCCGTGTTCTGCAAACCATTCATTTGCAATGGACCTGGTAGTGGAGAAACGGTCCCTTAAGGCCAATAATCTTAGGCGGCGATCTTCTGTCTGTTGTTCTACGGCGGCGTCCAGTGCCCCTTGGTCTTTGTGTACGGCCTTCTCGAAGCCATGCCTGACAACACCTAACCACAGTGTCTACACTTCTTTGCACTCTAACTGCAATTGCCCGAAAAGAAAGTCCAGCTTCCCGAAGTCCCACTATACGGCCCCTATCAAACTCACTAAGATGACGAAATCGTACAGGTCTCCGTACTCTAGGCATCGTAACCGATCGTAAAGGATGTCAAGAACCAAAATCCGCCAACGTTGATTCTTTACTGCGGCTGAAATATTCATTTTTAGAGAGTTAGTGAATTAAAAAAAAGCAGTATAAAAACAGGAGTGTCCAACTGATAGGGCTGAAAATTGTTTCACTTGTTATTTACAGTAAGATAAATACATTCACCAACTTTTATTAAAATAAAATCATTTAAACTGAGTGTTCGGATGTATATGCCACTTAGTATATATGAAAATTATTGTCGTTTCATGGTGAATTCTAGTTTATAATGCACATCGGCAGCGTGTCGGTTACGTCAGTAGGGCATTCATTAATTACTGTCAAAGTGCACATGATGGTAATCCAGAGCAGCGCTTGGCGTAGATAAATCGATTCATGAGGTAGATGGATGCTGGGTGTTTATGTTACGCCATTCGCAGGTCGTATTTTCCAATTTCCCTACCGTTTAATCGGCCAGCCGTATGCGTAACACGCCGCTGACGATCGGATAGAAATAACTCGCGGTCCGCCGTCTCATCGTTCAGATGAAACCGCTAAAAATACTGATCACAACTTTTCGCCAGTTTCCTTCGCGCTACGGCCTCGCACTATCACGGTCGGCAAACCGCCCGCCCGCCGAGTTTTCCTCGGTCTTCCCGTTTTTCTTTTCCGTTTTCCGATAATCGCCGCCCGCGAAAATCCGATCGGGGTAGTGTCGAACCCGAACGAGAAAAATCGAACCGCGTTTTTTACTAGTTTTTTATACTGATAGAGGTAGTCGATTGGCGTTTTGAATATAAAAACAGACTTGCAACTACACGCATCGGAGCCCGCAGGAATTTTTCTCGTGGGAGGCCGATCATCGGCAAGAGATAGCATATTTTTGAACAGCGGGGTGTAGCAAATTTTCTTAGGGAGAATAATCCTTAAAATTGTATACTATGGAGTCCTAGCCTATTAAGGCAACTAAATGTTTGTTAGAAATGTTACTAGTAAAATGATTAAATTTTTAGCTTGATTCGTCAATTTTTATATACGTATATATATATATATATATATATGGCGAGTTTCTGCAACCTAAGGTCGCTTCTCGCAACCCATACGCCATCGTATCCTATCGTTCCAGTCTCCTTCATGTAGTCCTCTACTTTCCATTGCGGTATGGATGTTTGAAATCCATTTCCTTCGTGGTCTTCCTCGTTTATTTCTTTGTGCTGGTGTCCATTTCCAAACCCTTAATGGTATCCTTTCTTCGTTCATTCGTTGCAGGTGTCCATACCATTTTAACTGCCTCTCTGTTATATCGTCCATTATTGTATTTTCGACTTCCATTCTTTCTCTGATGGTCTCATTTCTAACATGGTCAAGTAAAGTTAAACCGGAACATCTCCAGTACATCATTTCGGTTGAGAGAAGCTTTTGTGACATATTTTTATCTACAACCCACGCTTCTGACCCATACGTCAGTACTGGCTGAATCATAGCCTGATATATAATTTTTTTGTTTTCTTTGTTAGGTTCTTACTCCACAAGATCGGATGTAGTGCTTTAATCATATTTTTTCCTTTTCCTATTTTCCTTAGTATGTCTTTATTATCCTCTCCGTCAATTTTGAGCAATCCCAAAAGGGCTAAACGAAATATGAAATTTAACTGACACTATCAATGTACGCAAACTGGATACTTCTTTATCACCAAACAATAGACGCAACCACCACAAAAACTAAACAGAAACACCTGACCATTTTATCACTTGTTGTTCATAGCAAGATAAATAGATATGTTAAAAATTATTGAATTCTAATAAACATTTGTAGGTTTTTACCTTTTCTTGTCACTCCGTAATTGGGGCCGTTCAAGTATTACGTAAGCAGATTTATTACAAATATTTACCCCCCCAACCCCCTGTCAGCAAAAGTAAGCAAAGCTCTTACCCCCTCCCCCCATGCTTACGTAAACATTTGTCAATTAATGTATTGTTTTTTTAATATTATAATTATAACGTTATAATTATAACTTGAAAAATAAGAAAATAGATTTAGGATAGAGATTATATTTTACTGATACCGTATTCAACATAAAGGACAAAAATATTATATCTTAACATAACAAACTTATTTTAAATTTTTGGTACATATATTAAATTCAAATTAAGTCTTCAGTCCATGAAACCCGAATCCATGATTCTAAGTTTTCGATGACATTGGATTGTTTCGATTGCTGCTCAGTGTTGTGAGTTTGCCGGCTTTCATCGGATTTTGGAATGTCTACGTCGTTCTCTTCGAGCCATTCAACATCATGGTACTCTAAATTTTGAATAATGCACATCGGTTCATTAGCACGACGAGCAGCGACTCTTACAGGTCTAACTTTCCTATCAGTATGCGTGTTTACTTTTTTATGGATATTTTCGATGTGGCGATTTAGTGACATGACAAAGACCACACGTTTTGTAGGTTCGACTTGATAGCCCCAATTTTACAGTGGGACAAAAATAATCGTATGGCATTTGCAGGAAATCTTTGAGTGAAGCACTTAAGCGTAGAGGTAAATTGACTGGAAGATTAAGAAATTGCCATCCTTCATCCAAAATCAATTCATCAACTGTTTGTTTTACTTTCACAGGTGGTGGAAGAAACCTATTGTCTAGTAATCTAAATGGTCCACTTCTTGGACGACAGCATTCTGTATTTCTACATTTTACAATTTGAAGCAAGTATTGGCTCTCACGCACATGTTCTGAATACCATTTAGTGTCTGGAAAATCAGGAAGATCTTGTTCACCTGCCCCAACATATTTTGCATTAACATTACAGCCATCAGTTTTCATTGAACTCCATACTTCAGCTAATACATTTCCTGCAAATTCGAAATTAGATCTTTCTAAATGTTCATCAATTGTAACGCCACGTTCATCCAAACGAGACCCAAAATGGCAATATTAAACCAGCCAGTTCCCGACTAAGAGGAGCCATTCTGCGCTCTACTCTGTTATACGCACTTCTTCCAGGAGCATTGGTAGCTAAAAACAATGCATCAAGATCATGTCGCATAAAGTGTTGTATAGCAAACCCTATGGCTTTTTGATAACGTGGATTTTCATCTGGCCCTCCATCAACCGTCATGATTACCACTGGTTTTACTAGCCCATAGTCAGTTTTAGCTAATGGTCGAAACTCTTCATGTTCGAGAAGCGTCTCGAAATCCTGAGCATGAATATTAGCAGTAGATGAACTATGCTTTCCACTTCAAATAGCGATGTATGTTGGTCCAGAATATCCAACGGCTTGCGGTTGTCCTAGCATATTGGAAGTGATTTTGATACCAGCATAAACATATGGTATTAATTTATGACGCTCAGAGATTACACAATCGTGATCAGGCAATTTGATTCTATATTCCATGTGCAGTAGAAGAGCAGCTTGCTTATTTGCCGCAGTTACGCCAATAGGGACTCGAGCTTTATCATCTTGAGATATGAAAAATACTTGATCTGGTCCAAGTATGGATGCTATCTTCTCTAAATAATGGATTGATGTTTCAGCGAACTTGCTATCTAAGTGGCTCTTGTGGTGATCAGTTTGAGCCCGAATGAGCTTAACAGGGACTGTCGATAAATGTCTTCGTCCCTCTGCAGAATTAGAATTTCTGGAAATCAAACGAAGATATGTCCCACTGCGACTAATTTCAAATGCTATTTTATGTAATTCTTGTGTGAGTTCATCAAGAGTTTTTACGCTGCGAATTGATTCCGTTCGTCTTCTATCATCTGCTGCACTCCCAAATAAAGCTATATCCGCGATTGTTTTCAATGGTGAATGTTGATTGCTTTCAAGATTAGGACGTCCCACTGAATCCCTCAGAGATAGTCTTTTTTATAGCTGGATTTTCATGACAAATATCTTCTAACTTTCTTTTGAAACCATCCCTGTGTTTTTTCTGGGCAACTGGGTTTTGAACCTTCCTGTTTAAAGACTGTTTTGCTGTTTTTATTTCCTCGCGCAACTTAATGATCTGTTTATCAACCTCGGCACGGCTTGGCATAGTATCTCTGGCTGAATACAAAGCATTCAGATTTTTTTCGAGTAGAGCAATCTCATTTTTCACAGCTTCCTGAGAAGGTTTTGCTCTCTGTTTATCTGTATTTTTATTAATTTCGCATTGCTGTTGTGATTCATTACCGGGCTTTATTTTATCTTCTTCCTCTTTTTTAATATTTGAAGCTGACTGTATGATTTGTGTTTTTTCTGCAGGTTTGCAGGTTGCCTAAAAATAAAAACTTTCTATGGCTTCTGCTAAAGATTCTCTTATTAAGCTACATACAACGTATGGCAATATATATGGTAAATACAAAACCTTATGGCTTTAAATCTAATATGTTTAAACGAGCAATTCGTTCCTGTCACAAAATACAGGGTGCTAGTTTTCTGTATATATGTATAAAACTAACATCCTGTACTTTTTGACCAATTGGCGGAATCAATCATAAGAAATAAATCTATATAATGAATATTACCTCTAGACTTTGATATAGGCCATAATATTTTCTAATCAGTAAAGAGAAACTTTTTGGCGATTTCTAATATTTCTAGTACTCATAGGTACCTAAAATCATTTCGTCACTCACCTTAGAAAAAAATTTAGAGTAGATTGGATTTATTCTTAGTCGCCGCTTGCAATTCTTCTTCGATTCTCTTAGATACAATAATATCTAGTTCCTTGTCGGATTTTGCTTGTAATTTGTAATTTCGCCACACTTCGTTAACTAGCTTTTGTACATTTTGTACTTTCGTACTTGTAGGAGATTTTTTAAAACATTCAGACAATTTTTGGTATAAATTGGATTTGTCTATGTAAAACGACATCTCATTTAAACATTAAACTTTGGCTAATGGAATCAATGGTAACACAAATGTTAACTTGCTTTACTATACTTACAATACGTCTACTCGCTATAGTATCCAAACGAAACAATACACTGATAGAGGAAATTTAGACAAGTGAACACCGCGCGGTAATTCCCCTACTCGGTTCTAAAGCGAGTAGGGGAATTACCGCGCGCCGTTCACTAAACGTATGCATTATTTGCGGGAATCCTCGAAAATGCGTTTCGTTTTCAAGCAAAGACAATGTGACGGTTGCCATTCGTGTAAAAAAGTAAATAACTACCGATGACGTAATCATCATCTAGACTCCCCTACCCCCCATGTCATCCAAAATAAGCAAAGCAAAGAACCCCGCGCCCCTCCATAGTGATCACGTAATACTTGAACGGTCCCTATACATAGCTACATAAAGTTTCAAGTTATTTAATAACAAGCAATTTGGCTATTGTACCCGAAATGAAGACCGTCAAACACAGATTCAATCATATCAGTTCAATGCAAGCTCAATATCGATTAAATGTAAACCAGCATTTGAATGCGTTAAAGGGGATTTCAACTACCTGATACATGAAATCCGATATGGGTATATATGTCAAACTAGTCTGAACGAAGCTAAAAATAAACATCACTTCGGATGAATGCGGAAAGGGTAGGAAAATCAGTGAAGGGAATAAATAGGGTAGGCGTACAGGATATATGGAGGTTGCTTTGAAGTGCGACGCGTACCTAAATACGTTTGATTCTTAAAAGGGATTCTGTAGCGAAATATGCAGGGTGGGTGCAATTTTTATTTACTAGAAACGCAAATAAGTTGAAAACTGGGCAGATAAACATGAAATAACCTTTAAACTGATTCGAAGTATACTATAATTATTAATATAGAACTTTTTTTAAAAAGTGACCCTGCGATGCTGTATAGGGAGTCCGGCTATCAATTAACTTTTTTTATAGTTATAGTTTTTATAGTTTCTTCTTACTCCAAGTCGTCGAAGTATATTATTTCAGCCGCATTAAAATTTTTTTTCGAGACCACGTACGCGAACAAAAACAAAACAACATACTAACCACTGTTACCGTTTGCGATCGATTGCCGGTTCGATAAGAGTGATGATGACCGACGCGCTGTTGTCACGTGTGTTTCGAAAATCCAATTTAATGAAACTTACTGACTACAAATTTTGGCTTAACTTAGAAAAACTTAATGCCATTTATTTGTTAATTACCCAATTTAAAATCGTTTTAGATTGGATTATAAGAATTAGTAAGATTGTGGTGATGGTGGTCGATATAAGGCACTTAAAGTTGTGAACTATAAAGTCATTTAGACAAAAATCTATTGACTTTTGGACCATGGGTCATATGAACTTTTTGACTATGACAGAGTAGTTCAATTTATAGCCTTGAAGGTTCTTCCAATGCATCAAAAAGTATGAGGCGAATTTCCAGTTCAACTTCCTAATTGGCTTGCTCATCTTGTGAGCAACATCATCGAGTTATATATGAAATACAATTGTAACTTGACACCCTGTATCAGCATCAAGTGTCAGTGTACGGCCGTTACAACTCCATTTTTTTTTAGTTAGCAAAACGTGGGTGTAGTATCGAAGATTATTACAATTGACACCCGGATCACGAAGTACATACGGACAGAATTGACGTCAGTTCCAATTACTAGATTCAGTCGTTAATTGACATTGTATCCAGCATATTGTTCAATTTGTTCTCTGTTTGATGCCAGAAGATTGCATTTCCACAAAAATAGACACAGCGGTTTCAGCACGTTTACCGAATTTCATGGATACAGAGGCAACATTTAAGTTTAAAATACAGTCATTTTTTAATATCTGACTTACAAGCAGCTTTTAAGACCTTCATATAAGTATACATATTTCAGCCATGCGGATATTTTAATAATAATGATTAACGTTTTTTTTTTTACCTGTAATGATACTATTGGGAAATTATCGACCGATGTGGCGCTTCGTTGCCGAAAACAGACAGTAACTCAGCAAGGCATTCTTGTTGCGATAATTGTCTCTGAAAGTTGTAATAAATTATGGCGCGAAAATGTTCTCGGTTGAGTTTTTCTAATGACTTGGTGACACTTAGAAATTCACTGTTGTGAGAACACTGCACGTATTGTTGTGAAACTTTGAATTTAAGTTTACTCAATAGTGAGGTTACTATGTTCCTATGCAAAACTTAAAAGACATCCCTCATATATCACCTGGCCGCCTTAATAATACGAGATTGCTTATTTATTATTATCTCACATTAATTTAATTAACGTGTTAAATTTTCCGCGAGTTCCCGATGTTCTAGAAAAATGAAAATGTGCCAAATTTTATCATTTCAACGGTTTACCCAAAAAAGGTTCTACGTTGCTTAGAAGCCAAGATAATGCGAAATTTTACAGGGTTTGAAGATTCAATTTCAAAAATAAATCGAGCTAGAGCCCCCACCTCACCCGGAAGTACTTACGAGAGTACCTTCACTTTAGGTGGCTATTTCTCAAAGACCTTTGAACATGAAATTAAGGTCCTTGATAAAGTTTGTGAAAATTTCGAGTCTTAATGTTTATAAACAAAGGAGATATAAATTTAAAAAGATATATTGACGCCTATTGACCGTAGAAGGTTTTTTGAAAAGGCGTTTTTTAACCACGAATCCAGAACCAGTTGTTAAAATAAATTATATTGAATTCGATTTTCTTTTGTAGGCTTCGTTCCAATCGAACCACCCTCGTATATGTGTAAATAGAGATGTGCTTGAAAACGTCCCTCTATATGTAATATTATTGCCCTGCATATTTCTTCTAAGTATGAATTTGGCCACTAAATATGACAGTGTTTTAGAATAAATCAGACTTAGGAGCTGGTATTTATACATCTTATCAATTTTCAACCAGCTGAGGACGTTAATGGCATTTGATATATGATCATATTTTCTGAGATCATTTACAAGCCTCCAACATGTACTCATATTATAGTGACATATAAATCCGAACACCCAGTTTAAATGGTTTTATTTTAATAAAATTTTGTATAAGTACTTAACGAAGCATAATAAGTAAATGATAAAAATTTCAAAATGATTGCACTACTTCAAAGCCCTTCGACCTTTAATAATGTGTGGATGCACCCTGATGTGCTACGCATTCTCCAACGCGCCTAGGCATGCTTCTGATCAGGTGGTCAATGTCCTCCTTCCAGGCAACCACCAACTCCTCTCGAAGTGCTTCTAGAGTCTGAGGAGGACGTTGCAAATTGAGCAATCTCCTACCCATCATATCCCACACGTGCTCAATTGGGGATAAGTCGGGAGATCTTGGTGGCCATGGTAACAATGTGACATCATTATGTTGAAAGAAGTCTGTTGTGACTCTTACAACATGTGGTCGGGCATTATCTTGTTAGAAAGTTGGATCTGTGCGTTCATGTTACCTCTGATGAAGATTAAAGGTGACCTGGAACCATAAGCTATAGCACCCCAAACCATAACTCCAACAGTGTGATGAACATGTCTTTCAACAAAAAACTGTGGATTGCTCCTTTCACCACGTCGCCTTCTAACCCTCGCACGACCATCGTGCATGCCTAAACAAAATCGAGACTCGTCACTAAAGACAATACTGTTCCATTCCTGATCCCAGAGTGACCGTTGTCTGCACCACTCAAGGCGATTACGTCGGTGTTCTCGAGTTAAAGGGGGACCCAGTGTGGCCGGTATGAAAACAAGCCAAAACTTCTCATTCGTCGGTAAACACCTCGCATGCCAATAGGTGTTCTGCAAACCATTCATTTGCAATGGACCTGGTAGTTGAGAAACGGTCCCTTAAGGCCAATAATCTTAGGCGGCGATCTTCACGGTCTGTTGTTCTACGGCGGCGTCCAGTGCCCCTTGCTCTTTGCGTACGGCCTTCTCGAAGCCATGCCTGACAACACCTAACCACAGTGTCTACACTTCTTTTCACTCTAACTGCAATTGCCCGAAAAGAAAGTCCAGCTTCCCGAAGTCCCACTATACGGCCCCTATCAAACTCACTAAGTTGACGAAATCGTACAGGTCTCCGTACTCTAGGCATCGTAACCGATCGTAAAGGATGTCAAGAAGCAAAATCCGCCAACGTTGATTCTTTACTGCGGCTGAAATATTCATTTTTAGAGTGTTAGCGAATTAAAAAAAAGCAGTATAAAAACCGGAATGTCCAACTGATAAGGCTCACTTGTTATTTACAGTAAGATAAATACATTCACCAACTTTTATTAAAATAAAACCATTTAAACTGGGTGTTCGGATTTATATGTCACTTAGTATACATCTTATCAATTTTCAACCAGCTGAGATCGTTAATGGCATTTGATATATGATCATATTTTCTGAAAGCATTTACAAGCCTCGCACATGTACTCATAATACTTTGAAAAAGTCTGTTTTTTTTCTCAAATAGTAAATTTGCTCCTAATATTTCGTGAAAACTTGGCTTTTTTTGTAACTGAAAATAATTCTCTACTCCTGTATCATTCTCTAGAACTACACATTTCTCGTGTAATTATCCATCTCTCTCTCTAAAGTCTAAATTAACATTTTGGTCATAAATTATCGATCCAGAAGTGGGCGATGCTAAATCTAGACCCATTATTTTCGTAATATCACGACCGCAAAGCTTTTACCGAATACTTGACTGACATCACACACAATTCATTGACAAAATATCGTTTTATTTTTAACCGAATACACCTGGCCAGACTCACGCTGATTACCGGGACCGAGATGAACTTTAACACCAGACTCGAATTTTTCAGTTTGTATCTAATCTACGGCATGTTCAAAACGTCAATCGCGTAGCTCTATAACGTGCGTCGTGAGTTGTTATAAAACATGAACGTGAATCCGTTGATTCTTTCCAGATATTTATTTTTGTACCGTAGTTACTTGTATATAATTTTGTGAAGTAAGTTATATAAACTGTGGTGTGTGGAATATTCACGATGTCTCAGCTCATGAAAAAAAGGTTCCCTTCTCTTACCAGCATTGACTTAGAGGTAGGTAATAATCATAAGTTCGTAAAATAAGTAAATATACTGACCTGAAGTATAAACATATCTAATACAGGTTTGGTACCACAGAATCTGAGGAAAAATGGTCAAACAACCTGCACTCTACGTACACAGTAGTATAAACCTGAGCATTCAACGGGTATAAAAATAATGATAATGTTTATTGATCCAACTACAATAGCGGTAGTGTTCAATAAACATAAGATATATAAAAAAGTGTCACTTGTGCTTGGATTTTAACCGAACTTGAATTATATGAATACAACAAATTTCCTATAAGTATACTACAGTATATTCAGATAAGAGATAGACCGGACATAAACAAGACCACGTGATCATCGAACGCTGTAACATTCGGCAGGGACGTATTAAGAGTCACGCAGTACATATTTTAGATAGTAGATGCTGCTTTGCGTAACTTTGTAGTAAATTAGCACAATTCGTATACGATCGTATACGATTGGTGATGGATATAGGATCATGTGGGGGTGGGGTAAGAAATATATAATGATGTAAATATACATAAGAGTTTCAAAATTTTCGCTTCAGTTTCCAGCTTCGGATGCCGCCTGATGTTTGGTGAAATACAGTCGAATATAATCTCAAAATGGCGTTTAAATTAGCCTAAATTAAAAATAATCGTATATCTCTTAAAATTGCTTTTAGAATATTGATTAGTATATTTTTTGATTTCTAGGTAAATATGTAACCAAATTAAAACGTTCAAAACGTAAAAAAATGTGCATGGTTGAACATTGTCAGAAAGTAGATTTTTGAATAGGTTTTGCCAAAATGGGTTCAAAAATGTCAATAATTAATTAAAAAATACAGTAGCTTTATAATTACTTATAACTTACCGAATTTGATGAACGACATCTTTTATTGGAAAGATGAGCTTGATGAGCTTTCATCATCGCTACTGCCTGAAGCACCAACGTCAATAATGAATGGCTCGACTTGTTCCTCTAAAATATTGTCCAGTTCCCACATTCTCTTTTCGACTTTGTCTTTCACGTGCTTAATACAGTTTTCCCATTTTTGCGCTGTTATTAATTCTAGTGCTTCTTTGAAAAGTTCTTTGAGGTCACAAAATTTAAAAGTTGTATTGTGCTTAGCTATATAATTTTTAACCTCTGCCCATATGAGCTCAATGGGATTGAGCTCGCAATGGTATGGAGGTAAACGGAGCACAGTTTTATTTTGACTCGCTGCCATTTCGTCAATGGCGTATTTTTGATATTCCGCCTTGTGATCCTTGACAATTCTTAATAATTGTACTTTCAGCATTGCTTCTTCAAAGTTGATATTTTTCGAGCGGAGCCAATTTTGAACATCAACTTTCCTTGAAGCCGTTGTTGGGACCTTCTCCATTCTTCGAGAATGATAAGGCGCATTATCCAACACAATTACTGCGTTTTCCTCTAAGTTCGGTAAAATTTTTGAAAACCACTGTTCAAACGATTCGCCATTCATTTCCTCGTGGTAATCTCCAGTTTTCTTAGACTCAAAGTACCACAGACCGTCAACAACAAATCCATCCTCACTGCCAATATGGCAGATAATGAGCCTTTTCCCTTTACCTGGAAATCGAAGTACTAACTGGTGTAGATTTATTTCAATAAGCGAACCTTTTTCAAATGTTTTCATCACATTCAGCGAAAAAACATTGAGACATGAGTATCAGATTGCTATAATTGGGATTATTTAGTCATATTGAAAGAAAGAATATTGAACGTCGTATGATTACTCAGCGCTTCACAATTTAATTTAAAGTTATAAACCTTTAAAAAATGAATGATCAGGAACCTGAAATACGCGCAAATATTAATATTAACAAATTATAACTTTATAAAGCTTAAAGTATGAATTAAAATGATTAGAAATATTAGGAACGGTACACAATATAAAACTGAGTAACTCTTTTTAAGTTTATAATATTCGACATATTTTAAGATTATATTAAAAAATTATTGAAATATCGAAAACACATAAAAACATGGCTTAAAAAAGTTCTAACAAATGAAAATGACAATAAAACATCCACGCACTTTATCGAAAGTTATAAAAGTTTTGTTACTTGTAATATGTTTTATCTGCCCCCTGGAATTAATGTTTAGAACCTTGTTCCCAAGGTTTGAAAAACATCCGATTGTTGTCTATTACTCGTATTTACCTGCTGGATTTTTTAATCCGGTGGACAGTCCATCTAGAAAGGCCCTCCTGGATGAAGTTACAGAATCATCAACCCATACTTTACTTGTAGTGTGTCCTGCGTTTACCCACGTTTCATCAAGGTAATGAATCTTCCTGTTTTGATTTCTATATTTCCCAATTTTTTTTAAATAATCCCTCGTCCATAGCACAATTTCTTCTCTATCCAGTAGTAAACTATTACGACCCCGTTTTTTCCATTTGAAATTTAAATGCTTCAGTAACGCATGGAAAGTTGATCGTTTGAAATTTGGCAACGTTGTATCTCCATTTACCTCCTGCAGCTTTATCTATAGTAGGTATTTCATTCCTAAAGAAGAATTCATGCACTTTCCTCCTAATCGCATGCTTATCAGCTTCATCCAATGATTTAACAATACTTTTGCGATGTTTACTGGTCATTGGCTCAGAAAAGGTGTGATTTTTTTTTGTATTGTCTTAACACATTAAACACTGATGCGCGACACACCCCAACTTTGTGAGAAACCTTCACAACAATTTCTTTGATGGTTGATGCCTCGTTCTCCTCGCGCTCGATCTTATATATATTCAAAATGACCTCTTTCATTTCTGCACTCAGGTGTCTGTTTTTAGAGCGTTTCCTAGGTGGACTACAGGAGTTTACAACTTCATCGGCAGTATGTGTACTACTGGGCATTTGGCGCAAGCAGTTGATAACAATAACAATCAATAACAAGGTATAACAATAACAACGACAAACTCAACAACTTAATAAGATAACAAACGAAAACGTCCAAAGAAATATCAAATTGCAATGATGCACACGACATACGTAACACGTCTGAACCTGAATGTGACTCTGCCTTGATACGACTGCTCTGCCGCTCGGCATAGGCATTTAATTGCGAATTGACCAATGAGGGCTCCTGTTTTACGTCGAGACGGCGGCGTTAGCGTGAAAATCACCCGAACCTTTTGTTTACATCCGGTCTATCTCTTATCTGAATATACTGTAGTCAAATGCATAAATTTGCATGAGTTTATTATCAAATAGCATCCTGATTTTTAATGTCTACATACTTGAATTAGCATCCATAACTTTGATTCAAATTTTAAACGTTTTTTACATTTTATATGTACAAAGTTTGCAGGAAGAACGTTAGAAAGTTTAGAGCAGTGAAAGTAGAATAGTAGTCTTATTGCTATTCACGAATTCAATCAAAAACATTTTCAGTGCGATGTTGAAGTTCTTCCGGAGTATTTACTGCTCCGTCATGATACACCAACTCTTTCAAATAGCCCCATAGAAAAAAACCGCCAGGTGAGCGAGCAGGCCAACTGTACTAACTAATATTATAGATCAGACTTTTATTCCGTGACTGTATCTCTGAATACGCCAAACACTCTCTCTACCTAAAGCCTAATGAAGGATGGAAATTGATGCTCCTTGAGTGATTCAAAGATTGCTGCGTGTTGCGGACCCAACAGTAAATGCTTCAGATCAGAAATAAATTAATAATGCAATAAATAGCGCATAAAATTGTATCGCGATCTCGAATCCAAGGTTCCATTCTATTCTTGAACCTGACAAAGCTTTATAGTTACATTGGCTAAAATTAAGTTCCTTATAACAGCTCGTTTATCGACGACGGCAGAACGCAAACTAAGCTAAGTGAGAGATGCAAAAAGACACCTAGTTGTAATAAGCAGTTTTAACGGCACATAGACACAAATAGGAATGGTATGAAGAGTAGGATTTAGAAAAAAAGGAAAATGGTAGGGATTATATTGAAAAGTAAAATTGTGAAAAAAATGTACGTATTTTGAGTGCTGTAATGAATTATGGAGAATGTTGTTCAATGGACTTTTACATAAAACAATTTCTTGTCTTTCTCTTTTCGCTCCTACTTCCTTCCTTGCTTTCTCCGTCTCCTCTACACTTGTCTGGTTTCTGGGCCACCAGACTTGACAGACTATCGACGGACATTGACATTAGTCATGCCCGCCTTGAGAAGCAACGACGAGTGGTAACGTTAAATACAGGGTGCGGCAGAGAGGACGGACGTTTTTGGGATGGGTAGTACTCTCCGTCTCCGTCTACGAGAGAGGTGGGGCGGGTGCCGTTTGACTCGTGAGATCCTAGCATTATTTTACCAGTTGTCGTTATGGAGCCTTGGATGGTGAAGCACCGCGTTTTCGCCTATGATTGTTCCGTCCGAAATAATGAGTCAGTCATCGTCGTACAGCCACTTCAACATTCATCGGAATAGAGGCGTTCCCTCTCGAAACACCATCCTTCGTTGGGTTGAATCACTTCGCAGGTGTGGTGAACTGATCAACAGAAGACCAAGAGCAGCGCCGCGAGCAGTTCAAACTCCTGAAAATGTTGAACGCGTTCGACGGGTCTTTCTTCGCAGTCCGACTCGATCTGCCCGGAAACATGCTGCTGCACTTCGCCTTAATGATCGTTCGGTAAGGCGAATTTTGCATATGGATCTCCGCTTTCACCTCTACAAATTGGCCATTGTGCAACAGTTACAGCCCGGAGATTATGCACAACGAATGAACTTCGCACGTGAGATGGAAGCACTGATCGATCAAAATGAGAACATCATTTTGTTTATGAGTGACGAAGCCCACCTTCACCTAAACAGCATGGTTAACCAGCAGAATTGTCGTTATTGGACTAATGAAAATCCGCAACAGATACACGAAAGACCGCTGCACAGGTCAAAAGTAACGGTTTGGTGGTCCAGCAGGATGGGGCGACCGCCCACACAGCCCGAACATCCATGGACGTGATTCGCCTTATT